AGGATACAGGTTCTGTGTCAGTGCCAATGAGACTAAAGGGACCTTACACAGCCTATAGAAAATTGGGGTCTCTTAAGTTTCCAGGGAACACGGAGCAATAAGAGAAAAGAGCGTTGACCCTTTTATGGACATGCACAAAATGTAGGTAGAGACAGAATCATATTATAAAAATGAGATGCCCATAACGGGAAAATCGAGCTCCCTATGGGAGACGCCAGCAGGAACCATTCCTCTACTGTTGATCAAATTATGAGCGACGCTTCAGACCCAAACACTGTTGTTAAGGATGTGAGCATAACTATATTTGTAACTTGTGTATAGGTTTGTACAGTATTTCTGTATACTTGGGTAATAACTTTAATTGTAACTTTTTAATAAAACTTATAAAACAGACTAGACCTTGTACTTATGAATGTATGTGTGGTCACTACCCTTGGTCTACGTGGTCCTAGAGACTCTAAATCTAAAGCAAGTAGCAGAGATAACTTTCACTCTATTAAGCTTGAAACTGTAGCTGCCAGAGCTGAACCCATGGTGGTGTAATACCACATTACAAAATTCACTTTAAATAAATAAAAGGCTGCACCAGAGAGGAGTGTTGTTGATCTTAGTAATTGGGTAGACATGCACATCCCCGCCACAGGTTGCTACAGCACTTCAGTTTTCTTTAGACTGATTGTGAAATCAAAGTGCATGAGCGAAGTGATCAGTTATAAACTGAATGTCATCAGTTGAGCAAGCAAGCAGTGCACTGTCATTAGCAAATAAAGGCTCCTTAATGAGTAAATCTGCCTCTTCTGCATGAGCACGGAAGCATTGCTGCTTGAATGTCTTTCCATCAGTAGATAAATACTCCATCAATGTCATGAGATGCATCATGAGCATAGCCGAACAAAGGATAGAAAAGAGTGGAAGCCAGCACACCACCTTGTTTGGAGCTGTTGGTGACAGGAAAGGGGTTTGATGGTGACTGGCAGACCAGGTGCCAGCTCATGCTAAGGCCCCAGGCCTCACTGAACACTTACAAATGCATAGCTAGAAAAGTCTTGCTTACCTGTGTGTTAGCATAATCAAACTAGATTTTAAGTTGATAAGTGTGTTTAGATTTTTATACAATGTGTGTAGGATGCTCCATGTATTGATTTGACTTATAACCTCTATAGCTCATGGTATAAAGTTATATCGAGTATTTGCATTGTAAACCTCTATAATTGGGTAACTCGCCAAACAGGACAAAAAGCATTAATTAAGGTAAAATGCTTGTCCTGCATACAAGATGTCCCATTGAAGCAACTGAGGTATTGTATAGCATCAAAGGACAGAAGGCCTGTTGACTGACTGCATTGCTAACTCCATCCAGGAAGGAGGGACCTATGCATGAACTCATCCCATCAGTTTGCGCTTTGGAGTGGAGGGGATAAAAATCCCTGACAAGGAGAAACTGAATCTCTTCTATGCTGTCTGGACTATGAGGAGCAAAGATTACTAAACATAAGCAAAGAGACCCCCGTGCAGCTTGGTATGGTTTAGCCCTGAAAGATGTTTTGAATTGAGATGACTACAACAGTCACCTTTTGAATTAGACTGAAACTCATTTGTGTATATATGCTTGCTTGCTTTAACCTGTAAATAACTCTCCTTTCTTTTTCCTAGTTAATAAACCTTTAGTTAGCTTAGTATAGGATTGGCTATAAGTGTTGTCTTTGGTGTGAGATCTAAGATACAAATTGATCTGGGGTAAGTGAATGGTCTCTTGGGACTGGGAGTAGCCTGAATATTTTGTGATCTTTGGTGTAAGTGACCATTTATCACATAGTCTAGCTTTCCTGGGTTGCAAGATAGACTGGAGTGTCCAAGGGGACTGTCCATTATAAGACTATTATAGTACTTTGGGAGATTACATTTGTTACTGGATTGGTGAAATCTAATTCTAGAACATACAACCAATTTGGGGTGTCTGCCCAGCTTTTTGACAGTCTGCCCTGAGCTTGGTGCACTCGATTGTGAGCCACTCCAGGCAATGTGACACACATCTTACCATTTTCCACTATTCTGGCTTTCATCTCATCGTGAAAGGACTAAATGACAGAAATGAACATTGCAGGGCAGCCAGCGAGAAGCAAAAGTCACCAGAGTCCCTCATGATTTACAGAGTCAAAAGCTTTAGTGAAGTTGACCACCACCATAAAAAGATCACGTCTTTGCTCCAAATGGATGGAAAGTTTTTTTAGTTTATTTCTCAGTCATGCTTCCAACATTTCCAAGAAAGCAATTAATGCTCTTCCACAATGCCCATTACAAGTCGAGCTTGCACTAGTCCCCTATTTTATGAGACAATAACAACAATCAAGCAGCAATGTCACAAGGGAAAGCACCTGCACCAGATGGCAGTCCAGCAGAGATCTGTAAGCAGGGTGACTACCATACTGCAAGGCATCTCACATGGCTCTTCTGCATTATCTGGGAGCAAAAATCAGTGCCACAGGACTTCAAGGATGCCGATGTTGTCTACCTCTATAAACATAATGGTGATAGGGCAAACTGCAGTAATCATTGTGCATTTCCCAACACCGTGTTTGGTGGGGTGGGGGAATTCTTGCACAACTCTAGACTTAACACAGTCCGAATCTCAGTGTGGATTTTGGTCTGGTCAGGGCACTGTAGACATGAGATTTGTACTTAAAGCAAAAATTCCCGCTTTCTTTAATGATTACACTTAGTTTCCAAGTTTGACACAGTGACTCTTTTCTGTGTAGCTCTTTTTGTATAATATTTACTGAGTTCTGCAGAGGAAACTGATTTTAGAAATGCTTCCTTGTTGAAATGTTGCTGTGTTCCTCAGGCTCCTCTCCTGTGGGTTTCTCTAACCACTGTCCCAGACTACTTAGATGTTATCAGAGCGACTTTCTGACACAGGCTGCTGTTGCACTTTTAAAATGAAACACAAGTTATTTCCTCGATTTTGAATATTGACCTGAACTATGCAAATATTAGCTGAGGGGGCTGCTCAGATTTATCAGCTGCTGCTCTTTTCTGACACAACCTGCCTCCCTTCTTTTTGCTCTGCTCAGCACAAAGCACCTTGGGAGGCAGGCTGGGTAGTGGGGAAGGAGAAGTGGGCTCCAAAGGAGAGATGAAGCTCTGCATGAGTGGGACTTTGGGGATGTTTGTGGCATGGCAGATTGACTGGGGCTTTGGGGTCACATAGGGCTTCTGCAATGAAGTGCGGGGGAGGAGTGCAGGGAGATCCCAGTGATTCAGCACAGAGACATTAGCACACCAAGATTGTGCTGTAGTACTAGTAACTTGGTGCATTGGAGAATTGAAGTAGCAGCTTTGGATACCCTTCACCTGCTGACATCTTGGCAGAGAAGCACTGGGCTATCCCCACCTCAGGCTGCATGCACAGTCCTAATCATAAAATCATAAAATCTAATAAATTTGTTAGTCTCTAAGGTGCCACAAGTACTCCTGTTCTTTTTGCGGATACAGACTAACACGGCTGCTACTCTGAAACCAGTCCTAATCATCCATCCTTTTCCCATCCCATCCACACTGGTCCCCTCTGCTTCCTCCCTCATGCCAGCTGCAGCTACACATTTATAGCAGGGAGTGAAGAAATGCAGTAACATAGCATGGGGTTACATTTAAGAGTGACAGATCAGTTGAGACGTCCATTTTACATTAACAGGTTTCTCTATCTTGTTTAAAAAAATATGATAAAAAGATAATTGGATTGATGTTCTGGTATGCTCTGTGTGATTCACTGATCTGAGCAGATGAGGGCTACAATCCCAGTATTACCAGTTCTCACAATATTTGATATCTCTGAAAGCACCAGCTCCTGCAGATACATGATTGTGTGAATCTCAACTTAGTGGGTGTGTTATTTAAAACATCTAGTTCTTGTAGTTGGGGAGGAGAAGCTTGAAAATGTGACTTCTAAAGGCTCAGAAAGCAAATAGAGTCCTAAATAGTTAGATATGCTTTTTCAAAGTCAAGTTTAAAGTTAATCATTATTTCTTTTTGTGGGGTGGAGGTGCTGATTCATAACTTTTGAATGTTTGGGGTTGCATTACTGTCGGTCTTTTACCTCTTGAAAATGTAACACTGTATATGTTCACGGTTTCCTGCTGTTGCTGACGCTCTCCTCTTCCATCCCCAGCCTCTCTTTCCCCCTCCTCGCCATTGTTTGGGAGCTGTGGAATAGACTTTGGTCACTAACTCCAAGTGCTACTTCTAGAAGTACTAGTTTAACAAAAAAAGAGGGGATTGACCATTTTAAAATGAAAGCAGACTGAAGGGTTTTAAAATAGTCCCTCCCTCAGTCAGATTTAATAAATGAAGGGGGAGAAGGAAATGGACTGAAGTTTAAAATGGAAGTTAGAAAAAGAAGTGAAGGAAGTTTCATTACACTTAGGACAAGGAAAGAGAACTTTCCTTGTTTCTCACTTGTATGTGACTAAAAACTAGACTCCTCCTTGGAGTCCAAGCTTTTGTAAATCTGAATTTTAAAATCGTTTAAACATTATTTTGAATGTACAGAGAAGGTACAAAGGGTGGATTACGCCTTAAAAGATGTCTTTTTAAGTGTCTAGAAGCCAGATTTTAGGGGCATTTAGGTGCCTGAAGATGCAGATAAGTGCCTAGTGGGATTTTCAGAAGCAGTCTCTTTGGGTACCTAAATACCATTTGAAAATGTGGCTCAAACTGATTTTAAGTAATTTTGAAAATTTTACACATGGTCCTTAACTGCTTCTCACTAAAACACCTACTGTAGTTCTTTTTACACTTGGCTATTTGGTACTGAAGAGCTGGGTATCTTAAATTAAAAAGAGGTTACTAGAAGTTTCTCATTTAAAGTAGCACCTGTCAATCTGTATTGAGGAATAAGTGTTTTGATTTTGACTGAGTTAAAATTATACTAATACTTTTTGTCTGAAGACCTATCTTGAACCTCAGCATTGTAGCTCTCATCTATAAATGTTTTTGTTTTACAGGGGCCAGCTACCTGTGTTGCCTTCTCAAGAATTGGGGACTTTTTTGCTTCTGGAGGGTCAGATGAACAGGTGTGTGATGTATCTGCCTAATCTAACATCTCTAAACTCTGTTTTCTAGATTCTTGATGTAATTGGGTGAACAAAAAATGTGTTTAATTATGATGCAGAAAAATCAAGTGTTTGTGGAACTATGTAGTTTGGGGAGGAGGGGATAAATTAGCTTTAGCACAGATGACCTTTTAAGATGATAGCATTTGAAAATTGGCTAAAATTGAGAAAGTTGCATGTCTAAGATTAGGGAATGAAATATAGATGGAATATCTCCTCTGGAGCATTTGTAAGGTGAATCAAGATATAAGAGGAAATAGAAGAAAATAATCCAATAGAATATAGTTACTACATACAAGAGAAGTTTTCGAGTGCCCAAACAATCAGCACTTTAGTGTAAAACACTTTTTTCCACTCAAGGTAAAGGGCTCTCTAAGCATCACCCCAAGAGGTCGGTCAATATTATACCCATTCCTCATGGATAAACTGAGGCACAGTAAGGGTTGTTGTTCAAACAGTTTGAGAATACCAGAGTTTGCGGTATATCCCAAGGACCTTGGCTTGTAGGGTGAATTTCTGGCTGTATTAAAGTTTTGCTGTTGCCTTCAATGGGATATCACACTCATTTTCCTCTTACCACTTGAGAGATTGTGTAGGTGTTGTATCACCCAGGCAAGGTATTAACAAACTTGAACAGAACTTTATTTACAGTGGAAATCCCTTTATCAAGCTGTAACTGCACACTCTGTAACTCTCACTCAGCCTCCTCAACTCCTCCCCCCTCCTTCCTGTTTCCTGTCCTTTCAGACTCCCAACAGCCAGTGCTCCCAGTTCTAATAATCACATGCAGCATCTAAACACCACATTCCCTCCTCTCTTAAGAAACTTTCCAAATTAAAATAAACATTGTTATTCTAACCCCAGGAACAAATATGAAACAAGACACTATCCTGTTGGCAGGAATATTACACTGAAAATACTGTAGATACTACATAACAAAGTCTTTAGTCCAGGCAGGTGGTCGTCTGAGTCTGACAGGCTGTCTCTCAAGCCCCGGTTCCAGTGCAATGTCTTGTTGTGTTGGTTCTACTGTGAAGTCATCCAGTGCAGACTGGGTGTTGGCATAATCTCCTCTTGGTGCATAGGTAGGTGCAAGATAAGAAGCATTCCATACCCGCCCATCAAAAAGTCGATAGGTGTAAGGGCCCTTCTTCTCTCTGATTTTAAGACGAGCTGTGAATTTATGGTCCCCTTTGCGTAAGATTCCAGGTTTTTGTATTCTAACAAAGGAACCACACTCAAACTTTGGTTCCTTAGCACCCCGCTGTTTGTCTGTGAAAGCCTTAGACTTTTCTTGGTTCTGTTCAACTGTCTTTCTCACATCATCCTTGTTTGGGGCATCAGGTCGTGCCTTTAACAATCCAGCAATGTTCAGTTTAGTATTCAGCCGTTTCCCATGCAGTAACTCTGCGGGTGATCTTTGCGTTGTGGCATGTCTTGTAGCCCAGTATGTTTGCAAGTAATCAGTAGTGAAGGGTATCCACAATTGCCCTTCCAGTTTAGCTGTTTGCAAACTCTTTCAAACTTCTGTTAAACAGTTCGATTTCTCCATTGGCTTGAGGGTAATATAGGGATGATCTCCTGTGTAAAATGTTCCTCTCTGCTAGAAAAGTTTCAAATTCCAGGGGAGTAAATTGACTACCATTATCTGAAACCAGTTCTTTGGGGTTACCCTCCTGGCTAAAAACTGAAGAGAGAAACTTAATTACTGTAGCAGAAGAAATTTGCGATGTAAACGCTACCTCAAGCCATTTGCTGAAATAGTCTATTAAAGTGATGGCATAACGACAGTCAATTGGAGCAGTATCAAAGGGTCCTACAATGTCAATCGCCACTTTTCCCCATGCAGATTCAGGAAGAGGAACAGGCTGTAATGGAGGGTTACATGTCACTGCTGTCTTATCATGCATTTGGCAAGTGACACAGGATTTTATGAGTGCTTCAGTTTGAGAGTCCATCCCTGGCCACCAATACAGATCCCGTGGTCGTTGTTTGGTTCTGACAATTCCTTGATGAGTATCATGTGCCAGGTGTATGAGTTTTGACTGTAATTCTTCCGGCACAAGTAGCCGGTGTGTACCTTGTAGCACACAGCCATCGAGCAAAGAAAGTTCATCCCGAGTCATACAGGCATCACATTATTCCGCATTTTAACTTTATGCAGAAACCCATAAGCACAGCCGAGTTTCTTCTCAACCTGGAGTTGGGTCCCAGCTGAAACTGGTGTGTGTACCGCAAGAGTGCTTTGCTGAGGAAGATCAATTCGTCCATTAACTACCCTGAGATTTAAAGCAGCTAATAAATCTCTGCCAAGGATAGCAGTGCCTTTGTGGACAATGTAGAACTCCGCAGTTACACAGCAATCGCCAAAAGTAACTGTTGCTGTCAGGCAGCCATGTACTGGAATATGGTTTTTCAAATAGCACACCAAGTGAAGTTTGGGTTCAATAAGAGACACATCTTTAAAGTAACGCAAAAGCTACATCCTGTGTAGCTTGCAAGATGTTGTGGGGATCCACAGCGAAAGCATGCTTTTACTGTATTTTGCATTTGCTGATTCAGTGGCTTTTCATTAGTTTTCCTTTTGCAATTGTTTGTCTGCAGTGATAGTCAACTTTTCTGCAAAGGAGTCACAGCCTGGACTGGGCCTCCTGTACCCTTGCTCATTATTTTGGCTTCAGCTGTAGCTGACTCAATCTGAGTAGCAATGGTTATTGCTTTTTCTAGTGTAAGTTGTGGTTCTAGAAGTAAGCGTTCTCTTACGCGAAGCATGGTTGTTTTCTCAATGAGCTGGTCTCTAATCATCTCATCTGCCATATTCCCAAAGTCACAAGTTACAATCAGACTCCTCAGGGAAGCAATATACTGCATTATAATCTCCCCTGGTTTCTGCTCACGCTGGCGAAATCTGTAGCGATTAGCTACTACATTCACTTTTGGCACAAAAAAGTTCTTTAATGCAGTGAGTGCAGTCTCATATTTATCATCTGCAAGGAGAAACGTGTAAAATATACGCTGCCCTTCTGCTCCAAGGCAGTGGATTAGCAGAGCACGCTTTCTTACTTCAGAAATTTCTGTAGCACTGATTGCAAGCAGATAAGTCTCAAACATATGGATCCAGACAGTAAAAGCAATTGGAGGCTCACCTGGGCTTTGCAGAAAGGGTGCAGGTGGGTTCAGAGGCAGAAGATCCATCCTCATCGCCAAAATGTTGTATCACCCAGGCAAGGTATTAACAAACTTGAACAGAACTTTATTTACAGTGGAAATCCCTTTGTCAAGCTGTAATTGCACACTCTGTAACTCTCACTCAGCCTCCTCAACTCCTCCCCCCCTCCTTCCTGTTTCCTGTCCTTTCAGACTCCCAACAGCCAGTGCTCCCAGTTCTAATAATCACATGCAGCATCTAAACACCACAGTAGGCAGGCATGTGTGGTGGGGGTAGGCGACAGTTGTTATGCAAGTTTAATTCTCTTATGCTCTTTGTGTTGGTCTACATTCCTTATTAATGTTCCTTTATAATAGCTTCTGATTATTTTGCTCCCTGTTGTCTATATGGGGTTTATATCAACATGTAAGCCCCATGCATCTGAATCCCTTTGAATTGGTTTTCTCTATTCCTTAGCTTGCTTTCTCCAATGTTCGGCTTTTAAGGAGAAAAAAATTCTACCCTCAACTCATGACACAGTTTATCTATCCCATCCCCTCTCCCCCTGCCCCTGAAGCACTGCTGGGAAATGGAACATGTCTTTTTTGTAAAGGTTACTTTACTACTTCAATAAGAGTTTTTTTCTTTTTCTTTTTAGCCTTTAAACAGCATCTTTTGAGGCACTGGTTTGATTACTCCTCCCCCCTCCCTTTTTCTTGCATTGTTAAATAATAAGGGTAATTTTATCAAGGTTTTACTTGTAGTTTTGCTTTTGAAATAATTACCTAACTCTGTGTGTTTATAAAGAGATTAATAGAAATAGCAAGCTGGCTGTAGTGTGGCTTTTCTGCTAATATTGACTTTTTTTCTGAAGAAACTGGGGTGGTGTTGAAAGCTGTAGTAATGATACACTTCAAAAATAGTTACCATATAAAAAGATTGTTATATAATCATTAAAAAACATTCATAACTTTTGACATGCCTGTAAGTGACTTTTTTAACACATCTCAATTTCCAATTTAAAGTAATATGAAGAAAGTGGACAGTATTAGCTATTTTTCTCTCAATTACATAACTGGATGACTTGTGTGGTAACCTGCATATGTGGTGGTTTTTTCCCTTTAATTGTAAGTTGCAAAGGTTTCTTGGATTCCTTTATTTGGTTTTGAATTTGTATATTTTTTCATATGAGGCAATCTCTGTTGTATCTGACAGCTAGTCCTTTTTTTTCCTCAGAGATGACATTTCTCATGTCTAGAAATATCTCTTGCTACTGGTAAGCTGGGAAACCAAATTATAACACTTGATCTTTTCTTTTTTCCAAAAGGTCCTACTCATCTAGCTTTTGTGGTAGCAAGTTCCTTTATAACTTCCAGTTTTATACCTTTTTGAAAAATCCTCCCTTTTGGCTGTAATTTTCTATACTTAATATCAGCAAAAAGGTGATTTTTTTTGAGAGTGTATGTGTGTGCATGTGCAAAACTTTAATGCAAGGAGGAAGAAATAACTCTTAAACTGTGTGTATATTTAAAGTCTTCTGCACACTTCTATTATGAATGTGTTCAGTAAAAATTTCCTCTAAGATTAGAATTATAAGGCTATTTATGGAAGTTAAATCATAATGCCTATAGCCTGATCCTGCAAAGTTTTATATACATGCTTGACTTTATGCACTGAGTTATTCTGTGTGTAAAATTAAGCCTGGGTATAAGTCTTTTGGGGGCTTTAGGTTATACACAAAGGTGTCTTTCTATTTTGGCTACTGTTCCTCAATTGCAAAGTAAGTTTCTGTAACTATGGAAGTATAATGTGAAATACGATTAATATGTCTAAAAACATGGAAATAAAACTGTAAAGAGTTTTTTACTCCACCAATGTTAAATCCTACAAATACTTAAATGTCCTTTTATTTGTTGACTAGCTTAAAATATTTTAAACACTTACCAACTTAAATGGGAATTCACGGTCTTAAGGAATTCCCTTCCCTCCTCCCTGTTCATTTTCATATGTTCAAATGGTCAGTTTATGAAGAGAAGCCAGATTTTGGAGAGTGCCAAGACAAAAAAGTACTTATGGTGGATATGTAATTTATTATGGAGAGAAGTTGCTTGTTGTTAGGGTTCATTTTTGGTAGATAGTATGTTGACATAGGTCTCATTTTACTTTGCCAACTAAGCCCTCTTCTCCTGAGTGCTAATCCATAGGTAAAAAAGTAAGTACTGGTAGTCAGGTCCATTCCTGAAGATTAATATAATGTAAAATATAACTTCTCAGTGGATTTCGTCGTAGTAGTCAAACATTTTTGGTATTACCTAGGTAGCAGTCTAGGGAGTTCAGAAAAGGCCATTATCTTTGAGAACTCAAACTATGGGCTTGTCCACACAAACAATTTTGCAGTTTGCTGGGGCGTGACTCTACTTTGTGGACTGACTGAACATGTGGACGTTGCTGATGCACGTTAACACGCTTTAATCTAGTCCCATTTCAGAGAGGAGTAGATTAAAGCACATTAACATATTGTTAATGCGCATCAGTAGGGTCCATACAGACAGGCTAGTCCATGGCAGACTAGTTGTGGAATAGATTCACGCCCCAGCTTGCAGCAAACTAAATGTTTATGTAGACAAGCCCTATATAACTTCTCTATTGAGTAACATCTTTCTGATTTTGCCAAAGCCTATTATATTGCTCTTTGCTGGCAAAGCTTTCCTCTCAGAACCCTGGGTGTGCTGACACTTTTCCAGACTTCCAGCAAAATGAATGAATATATCTGGAAATTGAGGTTTTTAAAATGATTAATTTTAGCCAGCTGGTTTTTATTCTGCAGGTGATGGTATGGAAAACTAACTTTGATGCTGCTGATTATGGAGATGTATTGAAAACTCAGAAGTATGCCACTAATGTAACAGGAACTCTTCACAATCTGGTAGGTCAGACCATCTTACATTTAACACTGATGATTATTGTTGATGTTTTGACTTCCCTAGTTTACCTACCTGTATAATATATTTGAGAGGAGACACTAGTTTTTCTTTGAAGCTTTGCAGGAAGAGCTTTCTTCTCTCTTCCCTACCAGCTGATCTCTCCATTTCAAGTCATTACCAAGTGAAGCTAAATTCTAATCAAGAGCCTAACAATAGCTCTTGAAATCTGTGTGAGCACCGCTCACTGATATTCTTTCTAACACTTTTAGCTTTTGGGTATATTGTGAGTCAGCTATTTCCCTTTTCAATGAGAAAACTCAGAGGATATTTGATGAGCATTACCTATATCTTACAAGGTGTCTGGCTTCATTTCAGGCTGCAGAGTCATCTTGTTCTCCTGCATTAACTTAAGTTGCAGAAAGTCTGTTTTATTGATGAGGCTGGTATTGTTTCTGATTACCCCATAAAAAGTGCAATTAAAGAACTGGATGAATAATATGGCCTTAGAGAAAGGGGAATATATAAGCAATAATCTGAATAGAATTGCTCTTAACGATATAGTTACCATCTGGATGTTTCATTTAAAAGAAAAGAAAACATTAGCAGCAACCCAAGTCTAGTCTTATGAATAAATCCATTAGGCTTGTGCCAGAATTGCTAAAATATATTTTGTAATAAGAACAGAAGAAAGGCCATACTGGATCAGACCAATGGCCCATTTAGTTCAGTAGCCTGTCTTCCCATAGTGACCGGTGCCAGATGCTTCAGAGGGAGTGACGAGAACAGGTCAATTTATCAAGTGGTCCATCCCCTGTCATTCAGTCACAGCTTTTGGCAGTCAGACTTAGGGACGCCAAGAGCATGGGATTGGGTCCCTGACCATCTTGGCTAATATCCACTAATGGCCCTATCCTCCATGAACTTATCTAAATCTCTTTTGATCCTTTATGTTTTTGGCCATCGTGACATCCCCTGGTATCAAGTTCCACAGGTTGACTGTGCATTGTGTGAAGAAGTACTACTTTGTTTTAAAGCTGCTACCTATTAATTTCATTGAATGACCCCTGCTTCTTGTTTTATATGAAGCAGTAAATAACACTTTTTTCCCCTCACACTGTTGATAATTTTAGAGACATCTATCATATCCCCCCTTAGTTGTCACTTTATTAAAATGAACTAGACGATTTTAGACTATTAATGTCTTCCCTAATTTCAGATGGCCTGCCACCCCCCACCCCTGCTGCCCTTTCACTCATTAAAAGCAGTGTGTCACTGCAAAAGAAGCAGGTGGACTAGGCAGATCCTCCCCTCTCTTTACTCAGCCCTCTCTCCCCCCATCTCTTCTCCCGCCCCAGAGTTCCAATGGCCACTGGTTGTGCTGGCCGTTGTTGTGTGCATGCTTGTGTCTGGAAGATCAGCTCTTCGTTCCATGTTAAGAGTAGTTGCAGTCACTTTGGTTCCTTTCTTTCTCATGAGACAATTGAGACTTCTTTGCTCGACCGGACAGAGGAGCAAGGGGAAGTAACATTTCCAAGGAAAGCAGCATAACCTATCTGTTAAAGTCACTGCATTCCAAAAATATTAGACCAGTAGAAATTGCATATACCGGAGTGAAGCATAACTAGATGCAGAGTGAAGTTTTAGTATGAGGCCTAGTGACAGGGAAACTTTTAAGAAAAATATTACACCATTGCACCATGTGGGAAGAACTGTGGGAGCACTGGCATAGTGTTTAACCACCGTGTCTTCTAGACTTGCTGTGACCATGGTTAAAAGACATCTTGGTTAAAAACACTCAGGTGCCTTTCCATGCTAGCACTACTGCTGGTGGAACTGCACGGGGGTTAGTAAGAGTGGAAGTTAAGAAAAACACTAGTTGACACAGTCTGAGAATGGATAGTCCATTAAAACAATTCAGGACTTCCATGCCATATCACTGTGATCCCAGTGTAAATTCTGCTGTATCACGGGAATTGGTTAAAATATGTTCTAGCGTTGCCATGTGGATGAGAGAGAGCTCTGATCCTTAGCAGAACAGTGGACCTTAGGATGAAATCTTGGCCCCATTGAAATCAGTAGCAAACCCCCTTGGCTACAGTGGTTACAGGATTACACTCATGGTCTTCAGGGTTCTCACTGTTCTTACCATGTGTATAACAATCATACTGTGAACAGGTGAATTGCAACCTGCTTATAAATATAGTGAAGGCAGGACCTATACAAGTGCTTTATCGGTGGATTTGCTACACATAATCAAAATTATGGTCCTGTCCTTTGTTTCAAAATAAAAATGCTCAACAGCCTCAGTTTTTTCAGTATCTTGATATACATTGGGTTACTAAGAAGATTTCATTTTAATAATCCATAGTTCTCCTATTATAGGCTGGATTGTAAGAGGATGAGATGGTGTTAAATACATTTTTCCTTGTGAAGAGCCCAAGCGCTGATTTAAATTCCATAGGTTGTCTAGCTTTAAAATTTATGTGAAATGGTCTGTAAAGCATAGCAGGTATGGTTGTTGAAAAGAGGTTAATGATTCTGGAGGTGGTTTGATTTATTATTTTAAGTGATGTAAATAGCTTGTACTCTGAGCCCTAGTTTCCGTAACATTGCACTTGCACATCAGTTTGACGACTTCTTATCCTTAAATGTTGTTTTTGGATAATACTTTCTTTAAAGGTAAAATCTGGTTCGTTTTTTTTTTTTAAAGCACTTTCTTATAACTCCATTTTGTTGCAAGCATTAAAACTGAGGTATGTTCAGCCTTCTTTATATGTAAGGGCTGTGTTTTGTCTCAGGCAAGCTAGAGTGGTTTAAAAACAAGATATTTCTGCAGATAAGTTTTGTTATGATTTTGAGAGGTTATAGTATCCTTCCTTCCCTCATCCTTGTGCTCAACCCACCTCTCAAAAAATTTACAAAATCAAACTTTAAAACTGCAGTTTGTTTTTCTCATAAGTAGCTTTTGATTTCCCGATTTAAGAACAATAACTTCGCCCACTATAAAGGGAAGCTGCTTAATCTTTTCCACCACTGCCGCATGACTGTACTAAGAATTTTGTTTTTTAAAAAAAGGCTGTCTGCACAATCCTTTAACCTTGTTACTGAGTTATCCCTTCAAGGGCTATTGTCAATTATTCCTTACCTTATCTTACTGGGGATACACTTCAGTACTTCCTGTGTCATTTTGCCTTTCACCTAAATCAATAAATATGTTTCCTAATGAGTTTGTGCTACAAATTTTTGCTACTTTATTAAGCATTGTGAAAACGTGTATATTGACCAAAGCAGATGTAATGTAAACAAAAACAGAACATATAATGCCAGATAGCTCTTCTGATAGCTTTCTTGAGAGAGGAGAAGCAGGTTAGCACAAGTGATGGATATAATAAGAAACGAGTGATTGCATGTTAAATTATACATGACTCTTCTATCTTTCTACTACTCTTTGCAGCAGACTACTTGAGATCAAATTGGCCTGACATTGCATCAATGTGGTGGACTCAAAACAGAACTTGATCTAAAAATGACTTCCATTCTGATCCTGGAAGTAGCGGGGGATAAAATTGCTGCATCGTTTATAAGATACAAGTTGAGGCCTAGGTTCGATATTAGAAACACTATTTCACTAGGAGGGTGGTGAAGCACTGGAATGGGTTACCTAGGGAGATGGTGGAATCTTCATCCGTGGAGGTTTTTAAGGCCCGCTTGACAAAGCCCTGGCTGGGATGATTTAGTTGGTGTTGGTCCTGCTTTGAGCAGGGGGTTGGACTAGATGACCTTCTGAGGTCTCTTCCAACCCTAATCTGCTATGATTCTATGATCCAGACTTTAGGGACCTTGGCTATAAAGGAAGGATGGGCTCCACCTATTTCAAAATGTAACTAGATTGCTGGCATGTAAAATTAAAAAGGTTGTAGAGGAGTTTTTAAACTAAGGGCTGGGGGAAAGCCAACAGGTGCAGAAGAGCGCATGGTTCAGACAGAGACATCCCTGAGGGGAGGATCTATAAAGGGGGTTTTCTATATTCTAGCAAAGAGGAGAAGATAGAATTTGATAAAGTACAGGTAGAAATTGAAGATAAACAGTCCAATGAAAGAGAGTCCCATTCAATTACATCACATGAAAGCAGACAACTAAATGATGATAAATTTCATAAATGCCTGTATACAAATGCTAGAAGTCTAAATATTAAGATGGGTGAATTTGAGTGTCAGGTATTAAATGAAGATATTGATAGACATCACAGAAATTTGGTGGAACAATGTTAATCACGGTAATATCGGTGTACAAAAAAATAGGAATGACAGAATAAGTCTTGCTGGTGAAGGAGTGGCTCTATCTGTGAGAGAAAGTATAGAGTTAAATGTAGTAAAAATCTTAAATGAATCAAACTGTACCATAGAATCTCAATGGATAGATATTCCATGTTTGAATAATAAGAGCATAACAGTAGGAATATACTACCAACCACCTGACGAGGATGATGGTGGTTTTAAAATGCTTGGGGAGATTAGGGAGGCTATAAAAATAGAAAACTAAGTAATAATGGGAGATTTCAACTATCCCCATATTGACTGGGTACCTCAGGACCAGATGTAGAGATAAAATTTCTAGACATAATTAATGACTGCTTCTTGGAGCAGCTAGTCCTGGAACCCACAAGGGGAGAGACAATTCTTGATTTAGTCCTAAGTGACACACAGGATCTGGTCGAAGAGGTGCATATAGCTGCACCGCTCAGTAATAGTGACCATAATGCAATTAATTTTAACATCCTTGGGAGGGGGAGGACCAAAGAAGCCCTCCACATTAGTATTTAACTTGAAAAAGGGGAAATATACAAAAATGAGGAAGCTAGTTAAATTGAAATTAAAAGGAACAGTCATGCGTGAAATGTCTTCAAGCTACATGGAAACATTTTAAAAACACCATTATAGAGGCTCAAATTAAATGTATATCCCAAATTAAAAAAATATTAAGGGGACCAAAAAAATGCCAC